GTACATGAGTGTCGGCTTCAGCATCTTTATCGTAGGAGCAGGTGGGGGGACGTACAAGAGTGTCCACGGGGTGGATGTGAAGTTGGCTTTTCAACGGGTTGTAGTTGATACTATGGTGACTGAATTGGGATGTATGCTACGTACGGCGATACACCTACAGCAGGCAGCAGCAGGCAGCAGGCAGCAGCAGGCAGCAGGCAGCAGGCAGCAGCACCCGTGCTACAGCAGTACCACACATCGTACTTGCCCAACCGGACGCGCAGCTTACCTCTGGGTTATTAGCAGCCGGGTTGGTGGTGGCAGAAGAACGTGTCCTCAATCCCTCATGCGAACCCTGGATGGCGGCGATGACGGGGCAGGACATAACCCTGTCTGCCCCGCAACCCCCGCTTCCGCCGCCTTGTGGTATGCCGTTCTTCCGAGCTGCGTTTCGCTTGCCCGCCATGATGGCGTCAGCCTTTTCGCGGGCCAAGTTGGACAAAACCACTTCGCTAGCCTCGCAGTAGCCTGTGTTCTCCGCGGCTTTTCTGCCCTTCCTCTTGCTGTCCAACAAGGTGGTGCGAAGCTTGATTCCTCGTTCGTGTGGGGACCACTTGTGGATAACCTCGTATCTTGTTTGGCCAGCATACATGATGCGTGTACATTCGCCAGCGGCAGTCACCGCTGGGCCCTGGCCGCGCAGCATTTTCAAGCCCGCTTCCCACCACCACTTTTTGTCTGACCAACTTTCTGAGTGGCTCTACCCCCCCTAATTCGACCAAGCGGAATCGATTGGCGACGATTCCCGTGGCGAAAAAGTTCGGCAATGCGGCGAAAAAAAAAGTTCGGGCTGAAGGGGAACTTTTTTTTTTTGGGAACTTTTTTTAAACGTCGTTTTTGGGCGTTTGAGAACGATCTGCGAAGTCAATTTTTTTTTTTTTTTCTTCTCCGAGGTGGGAAAGGTGATTCGTCTTTTTAAGCTCGGAACCCGCCATATATTCAACTGTACAGCCGGAACGGTACGAGTACAAAAGATTGATTTATTACCTCCGCCTTTCACGACTACTAGGCGTGTGTGTGTGCGGCGCCTCCACCTCCATTCAGGGAGGGGGACAGATCTCATGCATGTCGCCGTATGGAAAAAACGCATGTAGATTAGACTAGTAGCCTAACATAGACTTCCTTTCCCCTTGAGCTATGTTGCACCATGCTATCAAAAGCTGAGGGCCTTTCAATAGTTACTTCGTTATTAAGGGTCGTCCTAAACGACCTTGGAATTTTGCCTGCGATCGCAGGTTTCAGACCCCGGATCGCAGAAAAATAAATGCGGGCGTTTTAAACGAAGCAGAGCTTTAAGTCCTCCATCGGCCGTTTTGCTTGTATGACGGAGAATAAGAAGGTGGAATCACTTGAAATTAGTATAGAAATAAAGTTTGTGTATCTAAATCGAAAATAAAACGGCCGATGGAGGACAGGCCTAGCAGAGCTGCTCTGCTTAGCAGAGCAAAAAACCTGCGATTTCTGCGATTTTGGCGGTCAAACCGCTCCCGACGACCGCANTTTAAGTCCTCCATCGGCCGTTTTGCTTGTATGACGGAGAATAAGAAGGTGGAATTACTTGAAATTAGTATAGAAATAAAGTTTGTGTATCTAAATCGAAAATAAAACGGCCGATGGAGGACAGGCCTA